CAAACGTTGTCATTGAAATTTGTGGACACCCTTTATAAATTTCAATTTGAATTTTTTTTACAATGATACATACCTAATTAATTTGCAGTTAAATAAATTAAAATATATGTAGTAATTAAAAATTCACAACTTTACCACTGTTTCTCTCGAAAAAGATCGTTTTGAATACAAGGTATAATGAACTTTTTTGGTGAAAGTGATACAAAAAATTATTAAATTTCAGAAAGTTATTTCCCGACATCCTATACTAGACTAACCTACCTTTACAATATTGGAAAATTCAGATAAATTGCTCTGTATTATTACCACACCTTCGAATGTGTGTTGTTATCATCTATTACCTATCAAGAAGTACCTATCTCTGAACAAAACAAATACCTATGGTATTCTTCTTTCCAATGTAGCCATAATCGGTGTCTTTAATGTTTAATATGCCTGGATGACTGTAAGATTATAAAAACCGAGATGTAGAGTGTAAGAGAATCACACTTGTAGTTCGTATAGGCTTTTTTCTTGCGTGTGATTCTTGATTCGAGGTTTATTTTATGGATCCAATGGGACTTTCAAAAGGATGTAACTATTTACGCACATTAGGTACAATTTGTTATAAAGTAAAGCCACATGGACGAGACTTTTGTAACATTTACCATTCCCGATATAAAATAGTTTGTAAATGATGTTAATAAAATAAAATGTTGTTTTATATACTAATATAATAAAGAAATTTTATTAAAATTCCCATTAAATCACTGAACAACTTACGGGTATTATAAATATGATGTTAATAATAAAGTTGTATAAAAGTAAATGAGATAATAAAGCTAAATTAAAACGGACTACAAATTTTACTTGATGTTTTGGATGTTGTAGCATTAAGACAAATACATGACCGTTTACGGAGGAATGGAAATATAACGAAGTTCCTCCACAAACGGTTAATTATATATGCTAGAAATAATTTAATAATTTATTCTTCTAGCTCTCTTATGACCTTTCTAAACTACAAATATAATTCTATGTGATTTTATTATGTAGTTTTTTAAAACAAATTCCTCGTTCAATCACGTGTCCAAGACGTTATCCACTAATTAATTTTCTTGGACAAGATCTTAAATTAGATCAAAATCAATAAGTGTGAGTTTATTGGTATTGTTTTTCAAAAAAAATCTTAAATTTCTCACGTACCTCTTTATTAACAGATAATTATTTGACTATTAGTTTCAGATTTTACATTATGCACCACATCTTCAGGCCATATATACTAGATGTTCCATTGTACTAATTTTAACAGTTGATAGAGGACTTCATTTTTAACAAAAAAGTTTTGGTGAAGATAGGCTGTCAATCGCTTCCTAACTGACATACAGAGCGTCGAATTTATTTTACTTTTTAATATTTTTCGTGATATCTAATAAACAATAAGTATAGTTTTTCCGATTTCAATTGAAGAACCAAGAGGTAGGCAGTATGTACCAGATTCGGTCGCTGACGCAGCAACTCGGCATTGAAATATTTGAAAAACTTGTTCCCTTATTTATTTGGCCATACCCATATACAAGTCTAGTCGAACTAAACGTGGAGGTGATAAAAATGTATACGCCCAGTTGAAGAATGCGCACACGGGCAAGCGGCGTACACAGAGAGCCGAACTGGGCGACTGAGCAATAAATTTCAGCTGTTGACAAGTGGCTGACAAATTACCTAGCAGTGCAGTGCAGCAATGCGGAATTTGGTGTGATTCAGGTCATTTTAATTTATTATAGGTACTTTCTATTATTCAATCATATTACAATTGCGAAAGGGAGAAATAATAGGGATATTTTGTTTACTAATATTATTACAACATGGCATTTTGGAGACCGTTTGAAACGGAACAGAACAAAATTTACCATCAATATAATAAAATTGTTTGAGGACATAAATAATTAAAATATGTTGTTGGCCAAACGAACATATAATAGAAATTTTCTACACATTATATACAAATTATTATAATTTTTTATCTTTAGCTTTTTTAGGGACGCCTATGAAACTCATTAAATTTTATTGCTAGGTGTTTTTATACATGTTCAACTGATTTCGGAACGACTATACTACAACATCCTCTAAAAATTATTCACCACAACCATCAGACGGTGGCAGACGTATAGTTAGTGCCTTTTTATTAAATGAAATTCAAGACGTTTTTGACCTCGCTAATCAATTTTAAACAAAAAGCTGTTCTTGCAAAATTGTCATAATATAAGAGGATTCTGAGTAGAGTGACATACTTCAGTGCAAATAAAGATTACATATTCTAATAGAACTGAAAAATGTTTTTATTACAACTATAAAGATATATTATTATGGCATTATTTATTTGAATACAGGTATTTAAAAACAAACTGTAACCACAAAAGAACATAGTAGTAAGAAGAAATTGAAGTAGATGTACTAATTGAAAGTACTATTGTTCGAGACATTATTTTTTATTATAGAACTAGATACACCAGTGACCTGATGGGTGCGTTATGTAGATCTCGAAACTAAGCAAATTCTAATCTATTGACAAGAACGATTGTGAGGAATTTGAGACTCTTTTTTGAAAACAGTGAGGTTTTAAAACATCGACCACTGTTAAATTCTTAAAGGATACATTGTTAATTTCATCTCCCTTTTTTTTTAAATTTAATTATTGCAATTTTTTAATTAAAACAAAGATGCTAAAATTTTACCGTCAATAAACATGCACATTCATATAATATGCTCCATTTCTTATCCCTTTTAATTAAAAAAAATTAGGCGATTTTAAAGCAGTGTGAGAAAAATAATTAAATGTTGGGTTTCAATGATGTAAACCAAAATTTAAATAAGAATTGCCCAAAATTTTTTCACATTAGAACAGTTTTATTAGGATTACTGTGGTATATAATTTGATAGCCTCAAATGATTATAGAGATATAGCTAATAAAGTATGCCACAAGCTTACTATTATAGCACAATCATTATTCCTAAGAACTCTTTCTAAATAATGTGGCCAAAAAAATTTCTTGTTTTACATCGGTGTGACTTACATAGTGTGTACCGGAATAAATATGAAACAAGTATACAATACCATTAATTTTACAAACTATCTGTAGATCTATTGATAATACATATGATTTATAAACGTAATATATTGATAATAAATGATACATACTATACAGGATTGCTCAAGTAAAATTTGAGATATTTATTTTAACGACGACTAAACGCGAAAAATAAAAAAATGTTGTTCTCACTGGCGCCTTCGCCAAAATATAGAAAAACGTTTTTTATTAAATAAAAAATATGTCTACTTAAAAACTTGCTACTAAACTAAACATAGTTTACGTACCAATAGCAAATTATACTATCAAAGTGCTGTGAACTCTTTTCAGAGTAATACTCTATCAACATTAAATTAAAATTGTAGGTTCTTCGATATTTTTATTATGTAGAGTGTCTAAAAGCTATCAATTATTATTATTAGATGGTTTACGACTCATCATTAAAAAGTTTGAAAGGACAGATGCATGGATGCTTTCCCTTAAACATCCACTTAATACACAAGATGTATTTAAATTAAATAAAGCAAATGTTAGCAAATAATTTTATGTCTAAAATTATTTATTTGTGGCATAGTTTTAGTTTTTCTCTGTTTATTTAAGCATTTTACTACCTAGAAATAAGAAACAAAGAAGTTTATCAAATAAACCCTTTCGCGAAAATTATTTGTCAAGGGTTATTTTACGCAACTATGCTCACCTGATCAAAAATCTTACACTACAAAAGAGCAAATGATTTAAAAAACTCAATAGTAAATCACACACTTCAGTCAGTTAATATTTCAAAAACAATCTGACGTTTCTTTCTCATATATGGCTTATAGTTTACATTTTATTTTATTTGCTCTCATCGATAGCTAGAAGTAGGTATACGATATTTATTCTATTATTATTTCTTTTGATATTTGTGTTTTAATATTCTTCTAAGCGTATTATTTTTATTTTTTAAATTTTTGGCCGAATCCTATTGCATTGTTATGATCATTTTTCCAAACGACTTCAATTTGTAACACACAAGTTCCAGCTTTTTTATTTAACTTTTGTGCTCACTTATTCTAATATTTACATGTGTCCAATATAATGGTTATTGCAATCACCAGGCGGTTGTAAATGTAATTTTGAATATCATTATTTAGGCGCAACAGTTCTAATGAAAAGTTTGTTACTAGTAATTTTAAAAATTTTGTAAATAAAACAAATTCCGTAAGACAATAAGAGTAGATTACCTATACATTGATAATTCTATATATTCCAGTACTATCAGAACAATTAAGAATAGGTACCAAATTTAACATAAAAACATTTCTTAATACCTATAAAACTTATAATACACGTTCAAATAATGATGTTCAAAATTTGAAAAATTGCATTCTCCGGGTTAGTAGGTAGCTATCTGCCAGTAGGGACTGGGACAATTATAATATAATAAAGACACTTTGTACGTTATGGTTATGGTTATGGTTATCACAAACAATCAAACCATAGTTCATACGAGTAGATAGACATTCAAATAGTAGTTCGTCGGTTGTCTCACCTACTCAAATAACTACTGACATATGTCTTTAGTCTACAGTGTAGTTATATTAGATCCAATTATCATAATTTGGCCCCACATTTATGCCTATATGCTTCGTCATTTAAATTTGCTCCGTCAGCTCGAAAAATGCTTCGTAATTCACAAAAAGAAGTTTATTATAACTTCTTTAATTAAATTTAATAGATACTGTTTCTGACTATACCAATGATCCCCATAAAAAAAATATATCTGCTTAGTTTACCTACAAATAAATTCACACGTTAGTAGTCCCTTAACGAGTTGATTTAAAGCACAACAAACTACAAAAACAACAAAACTTTATTGCTTAGTCAAAAAGCTCAGTCTTAAAAACACTTTAACCAATCTGCTAACGGAATAGATAGCTAAACATTGTGCGTCATCTCATTAACATAAAATAAAACTGTTACCAATACAATGTGTATAAATATAAGGTTAAACATATGCTACATCGTATGGGTTTGGAGTTTTTGGAGGTACTTCAGGGGGCACTTTTAAATGATCAGGATCATCTTCGGCTGAATTGGACCCTATGCTCGACTGTTTCCTCAACTGGTTTCTGACCTTAGCCGATTGAACTCTCTGTGCGAGAATCTAAGGAAAAAATAAAAAGTTGTATTAGGAAGATAGTCAGTAAACAAAAAGTAAGTATAATACTAGATATTAGTAATAACAAATATTTTACAGATATGCCTCAAAGTATCTATGATATGAAATGTAATAAACTAAGTATTTGTTACACAGAATTATTTTTTACTTTTAGGGATATTCCCGTCAAACCTTATTAATTCTAATCTTAATTTTATCAGTATTTCCCAGGATCGATTACGACCAATATGACAACTTCTATAAAAGTTAAATACCCTTTTGCATATGTGTTAATTACAATTACAGAATTATACTAACAAGAAAACATATTATTGTATTAAAATCTATAGAAAATTAGATATACACTAGACGATAAGCACAATCTACAAACGTTTTTCTTAAAGATAAATGATTTCATTTTAAACTTAAAGGCAGAAACCACATTGGGAGGTTAAAAAAAATCGGACTTTTTTTATTGCATAAATTAGATATTAGTTTAACTATTCGAAAATACGCTGCCAAAATTTCAAAACAAAAGTCCTATTTCTTCCGATTTCATGAGCCAAAAATCGAACGACCATCAGGTCAGCGCTCGGACGCACAGCAAGAATAGAACAGATGCAAGCTCAGAATGATGCCTAATTGGAAGAAGAAGGACTGTCATATGGTATTGGAATCGCTGATTGATGGGAAAGCACTCTATATTATTGACAACTTTCACAAATTTCTAGTTTCCGAAAATCTTCAAACGCATTTTTCACGAAATTTGATTCACGGAAACTCTACCTCAAAAAATTATGAACCGATCGTTATAAAAATTGAAAGTGTATTTCAATAATTTGATAAAATAATGTCAAAGTTTCATCAAATTCTAATCAATCTGCCCCACTTTAAAAAATTCGAGAAACGCATAAAATCAGCCTCTTAATGTGGTTTAACCCCTTCAACATGTAACAAACGCCAGGACGCGTGGTAGTTTATTTGTTAGTTCTCGGAACGGATGGGCCAACTCAGACAGTAGAATATTTCAGTCAACAATAATTATTAAAAAGTTAAGGGTTTTCAAGTAGGTTTAGCGTCGCCATAAAGTCGTCGAAAGACTAGTGCCTTTTGTCACCGGGAGTCATAAATTTGCAAAGCCGTCCTTCGGAGAAGGCCTCAGGAAATTTAGCATTGTTTTTTAACAAGTTCACTTAGACCGTAGGAGTATCTGGTAGCGTCGGTTTAGCCCAGGGTGAAGGAAAAAAATCGATATTTCTAATAACGCGTGGAATACATTCGAAAAGTCGCAGGAATTCCAAGATATTTAAATAAGTTGTTAAAATGTTACGAGGAAAATAATAATAGATTAAATAATTGGTTTTTAGGCGGATTTTTTAAGATATAAGAATAGATTAAATGAGATTGACTAATCCGTCTCGTGTTGCTGTACGGAGTTACAAAAGGAAGGTGTAGGATTACCTGTAAGTTCAATTTAGTCTCAAAATTATCCATACAATTGTAAATTCAGTCAATTAGGTATTAACATGGTGTAGTTAAGACATTTCAACCCCCGATATTCAGGGATCCAGCCAGTAAGATAAGAACCGAATCTTCTGTACCCCAGAAATGAGCGTGTCGAAGCGAGGTGTAGAATTCAGGAGAGATCTCCGAAGAAAGGAGTTTCTTCTTGGATTAATAATGGATAAAGTCCTTCCAAATCCGCTGTGTCATCGTTATTTTATTTGTGTTTTTTTATTGTTATTAAAACGCTTCCTGGAAAGTTTTGGTATTTTCTTGTTCTTCCAACTAAGTGTCACCCTATACAACCAACCACTGGATTACATTCTACGTGAGCGACGTACGGTAAGTGTCTAAAATTCATTCTCTCCCACGTATTAATTAAAGTATAGATGATGAAAATTATAAACTACCTTTCTAGAAGTTATTAGTAAACTCTTTTGAAATCCAGTATCGTTATGATACTGGTCATAACGATAGATAGATAAATAAAGAAATAACCCCTCAGGTTACAAACATAACATGCAGGTCCTATATACAGGGTGTTGCATCACGAGAGGGACATAGCTTAATGGGAGATAGAGGACATCTAGGGTAACTAGGATTGCTATAGAAATAGATCATTGGCCATTCTTTATTGAAATACAGGGTGATTTATGATTTTTGGTCAAAACTGCTTTATGTCATAACTTTGGTAGGGAATGGAATAATGGGTTCATATTTGGTAGGGTTAATGCACTCACGATACTTCATGTATGCATGTATGACAGCAAAAAAATCCAGGTCCGGACTGCAAAAATTGTAAATTTTTGTGCAAGTCTAGAAAACAACACTATGTACGTATTTTTTTGAAATTGCGATACGATATTCGGAAAGAACATAAAAAAGTGATTTCAAAGACTTGTTTCTTTTTTTTGTTACACTTTGGTGGTTATTTAAATAAGCTATTGAATATACGAGACTACGGCTTCTAAAGCTAAATTACGTAAAGGACACAATAAAAATGGTTTTGCAACTAAAATTAGCGAAGGCTTAATTGAGGGTAGATGTTATAAATAAGCATGCATATTTTAAACCTCATTTTCTTTAAATAATATGTATTCCAGGTCCGGACTGCAAAACTTTTAATTTTTTTTTGTAAGTAGAAAACATCGCCCCGTATGTATTTTTTTTTGGTATTTCCATACGATTATCGAAAAGAACATAAAAAGTAATCTCAGCGACATGTCTCTTTTTTTTGTTACACTTTGATGATTACTTAAATATACGAGTAAGTAAAAAACCTAGTTACTCTAGATGTCCTCTATCTCCCATTAAGCCATGTCCCTCTCGTGATGCAACACCCTGTATAAAGGTCCCATTGTTTTAAAGCAATAACATTAACTAGTTAAATACTTTACTTTCTAGTTAAATACTTTTAAAATAAGTTTTAAATATATGCAAAGTTATAATTATATTCCTAAACATTTTTTTAATTTCAATATTACTTCATTGGACAGCAAAATTACCTACCTACTTATATTTATTAAATTATTGTATCATCATTTATTTCTAAATGTTTTAGTGTTACTTTTTCTTATTTTGTGTAGCAACACCTATACATAATTATATCGTCCTATCTGAATGTTAGATTTTGTGTAAAATTTAGTATACTTCATTTCACATATAGGGAATACAATCAAAGAAAATATGAGATGCGGGCCCCATTTCCCCTCCTTATCTATATTTCATATTGAATCAATCTAAATAAGACATTTCCCATTGCTTTGCTCTCAATATAACATTTATTTGTGCCCTAATCGAAATTATTATTTAAATAAATTGTGATAATAATGCTTCAAAGTTCTTTATATCTATTCAAGTACCATAATATAATTAAAATTTCACCTGTTGTCGTCTGATTTCGGCTTCCTCTAACTTCTCTTGTAATTTATCTAAAGTAATAGGACTGGTTGGTTGTTCCTCCAATCTTTGGAATCTCTTTGGAGGATGTTTCTTTATTATGCTTTCTTCATTACCCTCTTCCTCGAACGCAATGTCGAAAGACAACCCATTTTCTGAAAAATATAATATTTAGTGGAATGCAACTATTAACTGAAATACATGTACACAGAACTACTACACATTAATGAAAAATAAAACTCCAAAGTTGCTGTTTTAGCCGCTAGAGCATCACAGTTAGAAGAAAGTTTTATTATTAACTAATTTTCAATAATTAATTCCTTTAATAATGTACGCCCAAGTAGTTCACATGCAAATAGTTTAGTAATCATAAAAAAATTGTATTAGAAACAATAGTTCAGAGACTTATAAAATCTTCTAATCGAATAGGCAACGAAACATGAATAATCGCAATAATTTAAGATTTTTCACGTTATGGACAGTAATTTCTAATTGAATTTATCTAATCTTATACCAGTCAAATAAGAATAAACACAAAGATTATATTTTAACAAAGTTAGGTACATTTTACATGATGTATCAAATCCGGGACTAGTGGAATCAGTTTCTTTTAATTCGCAAAAAATGGACTAAAATATTCATTTCTAAAAATATTCAGGAAAGAACATTCGATTATAATTTTCCAACTCATATTACAATAATTTGTATTTCAAATCAGTTGGTTGTTAGTTAATTAATATAGTGCGTGTCGCTAACTAATACCAAACACAACATTAAAAAATGTTACATATTTTATATATATAAAGTTTAATTGCAAAGGTCACATAACCTAATTATTTTAACGGTTTTTCGACTGAGTGAGTACGACATGAAACTTTAAAGAAATATTAATAAAATAGAACTTCGCAACATTATACTAAAGTGCAGCATCTACAGTTACTCTTGGGGCACACGCAAAGATAGAGTTTCCCTCGGATTGTCCCTGAAACAAGCTTTCATCGCGCTACGAAAAAAATAGAGAAAAGAAAGAAAAGACATACATATTTTCTTCCCCAGAAACTTTAGCTAAAAACATATTTTATAAATTAATAACGAAGTCAAAATTTTCAAATCATTTAATAGATAAAAATTTATCTAAATCAAAAAATGTATATGAGTTAATAGTCTATGTTATTTTATAAAAAAAAAAATATTTTTTCGCTTCATAAATTTTTTTACGATTTTTAATTTTGTTTTATAAAATTTCTATAATTTTATGTTTAGTACTAGTACATATAAATAGAAGTTATCAAAATTACTCCGTAAATAGCTTTATTTTAAAGATTGAAAGCTAGTACACCTTTTAATCACATTAGGACAGCTGTCGTAATATAAAGACACACAATTAACGAATGCCATTGTCATCAACTACTCGTCATTTTTATAAAAAGATATGTTTAATTTAGATTTGTATTTTAACACTGCTTACATGGTTTCTAAGCCGATAAAATATTTTTTTGGTACTAATAAATTGTTAATATAAAATAAATTGATCCATTTAATACTCTTCAAATACACGTCCTCATATTTCGTTTAAAATCAAACACAGTACTGCCACATTACTGAGAATCCCAGGGTTAGGTACACCTTTTATAACGTTTCATTCAGTAAAATCGTTTTTTAAGGTCAACAAAAGACTGCCAGTTCGTGAAGTTCAACACACAATGTTAGATTACATGCAAAATTCTTTGAACTATTTCCATAAAGTACCTATTTATAATATTCATTTTTTACAAACAGAATTAAAACATATTTTATTTATTCATATAGGGTGCAATGAAAAAGATATTACAGATTAGAATAAACAACAAAACTTTTAAAAAAGGCTTTACGAAGAGTATTGGAGCGAAAAAAAATACACAATAGGTACAATTATTAAAAATTAAGTACATTATCAAGTTTGTTTTGCGATATGTGGTGATCAGATCGTCACGCTTAAGCCTTTCAATTTCTGGGATTAGTTTGAAGATATTTAGTCTTTCTTCGCAAGAAAAGAAATACCATAGGGAAGTCTGGTGGCGGCACGTTGTCACAACTCAATTTGAGATTGGTCTCTTATCAGATTTGGATACCACACAGCTGAACCATACTCGATGATGGGCCTTATGTAGGATTTATATAAGCAATTAGTAGTTTCACATGAGGGAGCAGATAATATTTTTTTTAAAAGAAATAAGGAGCGTTTAGCTTCATTGCAAGCAACAGTTATATGAGCTGACCAAGAGAGGTCATTAGAAATCACTACACCGAGATCGGTTTGCCTGTCCAATTTGACAATGTAATCTTGGGTTGTTCTTACCCAAGTGCAAAACTACACATTTTTTGGACTTCAACGATATTAACCATTTTTTGCACCAATCTGTTACAGCAATCAAGCTTTCCTGCAATAGTTGATAATAGTAATAGGATTCTCATAAATCTTTGTAACATCAGCATACAGCGAGCATTTAAGTGGCAATGTTTGAGGAAGATCTGCTGTATAAATAAGAAAGAGTAATGGGACAAGAACTGAGCCTTGAGGAACTTCACTTTTAACAAAATAGTATTCCGAGGCGTCAGTTCCTATTTTCACACGGAAAAAGCGATTGTCAGCACGCTGATCACTATCAGCTGTGATGGTCCAGTGGTTTCTTTCCGCAAAATATGAAAAACATTGCACAAAAACCAGTTTGCCTAGTGTGTCCGAGCCTACCCGCCTCCCATATAATAGTTGAACAACAATAGTCTGGAGTTTACTTAGAAAGTTTGACCTGGAGTACACCGTCTATTAAATTCACCGGTCAATATTTACCTGTTGTTTCACTGATTCTGAGAACTGAACAGCGCACTTATGAAGGTGCTATTAACTCAAACTAATGTGCTGATAGTTCGAAAACTATTTAGCACTTCATTGTTGTGAAACAATTAACAGGAATAGGCCAATCAAGGGTAATTATGTCAGTGATCTCGCAGGATTGTCAAGTCAGGAAATAAAATATTATACTGTTGCTGTGAAACAAAATTATTTCCTTTTAATATTAAATGTGATTGCAATACATATACAGGGTGGGCCACCAGTAACGCCTCGGTCGCTAGCGTTATTATATTTATATTATATGCTATATATTTTTATACAGCCCGAAACAAAGAAGTCCATTACGAGAGGTTTGGACACCTGTGGTAGCCACTGACATGAACCATTCTTAATTATCGATTTATATAATTTCTCACTGAATATGAAAAATGTGCAGGTGTGCCATGTATTTGCATTCACATTTTTCTCCTTATATTTACCGAGACGTCATCAAAAAGAACCCAAACCAATTCAGTAAAGACCTCGATAAAGACACGTGGATACATCTTACAAAAAAAATCGATAAAAAACGAAACGGCACAAATATCTCAATACCGTTAGAGATAGGTATAGGGAACCTATACACAGTTTGAAAGAGTTTTAAATTTCCATCTCCCAAAGTAAAAATATACTGGGTGTTCCATTTAAAATAACCAAGTTATTGCTGTTTAAAGTTGAGAGAAGTATTCAGCAGTTTTTTGAACACCCTGTATAATACTAAGTGACGACAAATATAACAATTTATAACTTCAAGGATCTAAAATAGACCCTCCAAAGCTGCTTCCTTAAAATTATTTTTTTATTGCTAATATTAAATTTCTACGCTATGCTTGCATTTTCACTAAAATTGAAATATCTCACAAACTATAAGTCCTAGGTATGCAGAACCTTTAATAAAGTTCACCTATTTTTTTACGGTACTTTCAAAAATGCAGTAAAATACAGGGTGTTCTATTTAAAAAAACATAACTTTGATATGGTACGCTTTTCCTGGACACCCTGTATATTTCAAAATATTTTTAAAATGTAGCCGTAATCAACTTACACATACCCACATAAACAGGTTTCTGTAACATTTGCCGTTTGGTCACTATCGACCGAGGCGTTACTGGTGGCCCACCCTGTATAAATAAGTCTAGATAAAATTTTAGTAGTCTTACTTAAAATAAATGAAAACCGTCCAGTGTTGTTTAGTGTGGCACAGCTTACAGACAATCGATTAATATAAATAATTCACAGTAATTGGTTGTATGTTAAATTTATCATTTATTGACTTCAATTCAATCCTACACATAGTTGCTTATTTATTCAAAAATGTTGCTGTAACATTCCACTAATTTCATAACTGAAATTGGTATTGTCGGTGTTTATATCTATTTCTCGGAAATTAAAGATCCAATTGATGAAGCAACATTTCATATATAGTCCAGGCGGTATCTGTCTTACAAATCCAAATCCAAAAAAAAAAATTAATTTTTTTGCTATTTTTTTATACTTTTTTGCAATAACAATTAAGCCCACGTTTTTTTTATTTGCATAGAAATATTATCATTCCTAATGCTATTTAGATGCCGTTAAAGCAAAAATCTCCGATCATATGCGTTTTACCCATAAAATGATGTAGTTAGGGGAAGTTGTGAATGAGAACGGTTTTTCTAGCAATTATAAAATCAAATACACAATCGACTCTACATACAAAGTGTGGCGTGTACCTATAATCTATACAAATTAAACTACAGCTTCCTAACGATATTTGTAATAGAAAGGTCTTATACGAAAAAGTTCTATTTATGCGTTTTTTTTCGTAAATTAAAGTTCAATTATGGATAAAAATATTTTCTCTGGAACGGCCCTGTCCTTGTGCTGTACGATGAGTTACGTGCTGTAGACCGGTCGCGCAAACAAATCGTCGTTGAAAGATAGAAAGATTCTTCTCAATTTTTGGCGAATTTTTCAATGCAAAAGTACGAACTAAGAAAAATAGATATTTAAAAAAAGAAACTGATATTTTCTTATTATAATAATTAATAATAATTACTATCTTAAATGCATTGTTGTTGGTGCAAAAGTTCGCAAACAAAACCACATCCGTAACCAACTGCGTGCCCTAAACAAACTCCATTAAAATATGGAACAAAATGAAATAAAACTTATCATTTCTAGAGAAAATGTTGCAATTGCTTCCCATTAGCGCGGATACAGGCATGGCACCGACGCACCCAATTTTGGCGAATATGTTCCTAATTTCCAGGTATTCCCCTAATTGTGTCAGCAGCTTCAAGTAGACGGTTTCGCAATTCTTCCACCGTAGCAATTAGAGTATTGTAAACCAATGACTCCAAGTGACTCCAAAGATAAAAGTCCACTGAAGTTAGATCTGGTGACCGAGGTGGCCACGGCACAGGATCAAAGTGTCCAATCCATCGCTGAGGAAACATTTCATTCAAAAGTGTCGTTACTTCTCGAGTACTATGCGGAGGAGCCCCATCATGAAGATAAAACATGCGTGCCCGAACTTGTAATGCCACATCGTCCAATAATTCAGGCAACTGGTTCTCCAAAAAGTCAGAATATGTTGGCCCATTTAGTTGTCCTTTTTTACATTTACCGAGAACCGATGTTGAAAAGGAGTTTCCCTAATCGCGTGAGGATTTTTATCGGCCCATATGTGCATATTTTGGAAATTCACTTCATCACGGGTAAATGTCGCCTTATCTGTTACACAAACATAGGCAGGAAAGTCTATTTGATTGGTACATTGCCATAAAAACCATCTGCAAAAACGCATTCGTTGATCACAATCCGGGGGTAAAATCTGTTGAACTGGTTGCAGATGATCTGGGTGCAACAGCTGGCGCCTTGATGCGATGTACTGTACCAGATGAGGTTCCTACTTGCTGTGCGAGTCGTCGAGTACTAATTGTGGAGTCTTCGTCAAGATTTTCCAACACTACATCTTCAACATTAAGGTTCACTTGCTGACCATGTCCTTCTCCTCGAGAAATAACACTTCCCGTATCTCGCAACCGCTGAACGCACTGTAAGATGGTATTTGGACATGGGGTGTGACGTTGTGGCCATTGTTCCCGGTACAACCTAGTCGCCAAGAGCCCATTTTCTCCGGATGCACCATACACCAACACCATATCGACACGTTCGGAAATAGTAAATGCATTGTTTTCTCTGTTCATTGTAAAACTAGTTTGTGCACAAACTAAAAAATTAAGCAAAGTAAGAAATAATAATCTCGTTTTTAATGTAATCGGCAGGTTATTCTTATTTTTTACTTCTTTATAAAAATTACACTGTCACTATCGTGGAATTACAAAATAAAAACTTTAGTCTGGAATCTTTCATTTTTTAACACTGATGGGTCGATGGACGATGCATAATATTTAATAATTAAGTGAATAATGAATTCAATACAAATACAAAATCAGTTGACTGCACAATTTTTTTGACAATGAAACCTAACCTTTTATAACTACTAGTATTAGAGTATACCGACTTAAATTATAAGGTTACATCTCGGGTCGCATAAAAACATTTCCAAAGTTTTTAATAAATAACACAGGGACGGCCTTCATTTTCGTTGAATAAATGAACTTTAATTTACAAAAAAAAACGCGAAGATAGAACTTTTTCGTATAAGCTGTAGTTTATTTTTTATAGATTATACACGCCACACCCTGTATATGTAATAGCTATAGATATAAATAAAACAAGTATACAAATAAGTGATTGTTCCGCGAATAACACTCATGCCATTCTATGTATTTGGACCTCCAGAAACAGAATCAAAACTTTGCATTCAGTAGGGTTCTTATTTTTCACAGACATAAACGAGTTGACGCAGCATATTCGTGAAGCGCGTACATATTTTGGGTATTCAAAGGCTCATCAATCCTGCATCTTAAGGTGCACACCTGAAATTCACCCTTAGCACCTGAAAATTATCTAAAATTCGACTGGTTCAACTCAAACCCAGAATTTATAACTCGGAGAGTATTTTACACAGCAAACAAGTCGGTACTTTGTAATAAATTTGACCTGAGATTCTAATTCTTAAGCTTCCAGTAAGGATGTCATCATTCCCCACATCAATAATGTTTTGAGGAATTGCAGTGCAACTTGATAAACAAATCATCAATTATGCTGTTTACTGACTTTCTTTTATTTATATCGAGTTTCATATTTTCCTCTTCACTTATGGAAACAGTCCTACAGAAAAGATAGAACTAAAAATGAACTTACGTCCTTTCTGTATGTTATTCACGGTGGCCGACTCTAGCAATTCCGCTTGTAGATCTTCTCCCTCCAGGGGCGGAACACTCAGATTGGGAACGGAAACTTTTCTAACCCCGTTCCCATTCGACAGTTCGCCTGAATTGTTGCCATCCAAAGATTCCACCGTTACGTTCTTGGCCGCACTACAACCCATACCTGCAGAACATATGCATTAGTAATTATGGGAATCGGTCGGATCGATGCATATTTACATACAGGGATGGCCAGAAGTACGGAATAAAATTCATATCTTTTGAGGTGTTTTATACAACCCTAAAAACCTTGCTATTGAAAAAATAAAACTTGTTTATTTGGTATGGTTGGATTCGGTTTTCTATTTTTTATAGATTATACACGCCACACCCTGTATATGTAATAGCTATAGATATAAATAAAACAAGTATACAAATAAGTGATTGTTCCGCGAATAACACTCATGCCATTCTATAATAAACAAGTTTTATTTTTTCAATAGCAAGGTTTTTAGGGTTGTATAAAACACCTACTTAACAAGTGAAATAAAATTTAATTATCTTCAGTGTTATCCTCCATGAATCATGAATCTGCACAGAATAAAATAAAGAATTTGAAACTGTACCTATCACTGCTAATGCAAAAAAGATATATTTTTTATGTTACGTACTTTTTTCGGATGAAGCTACGTTTTATTTCAATGGAGTGGTTAATAGGCACAACTATCGCTTTTGGTTCCAGGAAAATACACACTGAACATGCTAACCGCATACGCAGCATCCACAAAAGTTAATGTATGGGCAGGTATCGTCAACAACAGAATCTTGGGCCCATTCTTTTTTGAAGAAAATCTTACTGCCGCACGCTACCTGGATTTTACCTGATACCTGCTCTAGCTGTGATTTTCCCTCATGAAATTGATCCAGATATACCGAATGAAAGAATTTGGTTCCAACAAGATGGCGCTCCCCAACATTTTGGTATTGATGTTCGAAGATACTTAGATGAAATGTTTCCAAATCGCTGGATTGGTAGACGGGGTACAGTTGAATGGCCGCCAAGATCCCCCGACTTAACACCCCTGGATTATTTTCTTTGGGGATATTTGAAAGAAAGAGTCTACCAGGACAGACAGGATAATATTGAGAATTTAAAGAACAAGATTAGGGCGGAGATGCATAATTTACCAGCTGAAGTCATTCAGAATGCTGAGGACAGCTTTTACTATCGTCTTGGAGAATGCCAAATAGTGAATGGAGGATATTTTCAGCATTTGCGACATTGAGTTTATTTTTGTAAATTATCTAGTTGTTGAAAAAAAAAACTTGTAATTGAAAAAATAGAACTTGTTTATTTGGTATGGCTTTATTCGGTTTTCTACAAGCTTTTCAACGAGCCCCCTCATGCCTTATGTTTCCATTTGGAAGAAAAAGTAGGGTAGCTGGGGGTTAGGGGGTTGAAGAAAAATTAATTATTATATAACCGAAAGATGGGAAAAAATCAAAATCAGTTATCGTGTTTCGACGTTTTAAATAAAATTTACTCATTCAAAAGATATGAATTTTATTCAGTACTTCTGGCCATCCCTGTATACATTAAATTCAGGATAACACAATGATATGGAAATTGATCAGCTAATTCGAAAATTTGCCATAATATACAGTGCGTTATTTTCATTTCTGAGCTACTTTGAAATCTATGTACGATTTAAAATTTAAAATGGCAATGGACTGTTACTGGAAAACATTGACGACTGTTTAGAATTACAATATGATCTAATAAGAATTAACTTATGTAAAGCTAACTAACTTCTTACCATTTAATATCATAGGATGTTTTTGACTGTGATTTACCAAAAATACCAATTTTATCTGCATTAATTATGCATATAAAACTAGTAAGACAACGTGACCAATTGTAGGTGGATTTGGGTCTTATGTTTGACCCCAAACTAATTTTACTCAATGACGCAAGCAATATTTCCAAAAATGCCTACAAATCTCTTGGATATATTATTGGTAACTCTAGAGTCTAGACAGTTCTTTAAATTGAAATATCCAACTACGATATTCACAAAAAAATAGATCATCAAATTATCTGTTATAATGCACGCAGAATAAAAAGAATTCTCAACGTAAATTTTTGTTCAGTTAAAATTAAGTTTGACTTATAAGTCGGAACGTTAGAATTATTACAAAATTAAATACTCCACTAGACTATAACTCTACTTCAGGAAAATGTGGAACTGCAGTCGCTTTCTATATTTAACAATGTTCAACATATCCTAACATGGCATCGAAAATGGGATGCACCATACATTGTAATTATTATCATTTGGAAAAAGATACATTTTTCAACGTTCACAATAACTTTTTCAATTTGGCTGTTCCAAAAAAAAAAAAAGTAAATAAAAAATAATAGTGGTTTAGATTACTGTGATTATATTTCCGATAAAAAGTGAAGAATGAATACTTCTTATCAGTGAAAAAAAATGTGTCCGCTCAATAAATTCGCGGTATTTTTATTGGAACAGGAAATGTGTATTAATATTCACAGTATCCAGAATAAAATCAAATAGTCGACAGCTACCCCATAGTACAATTATTAATAATTCATATACCTACTTCTATCTAGTCATGCACGCAAAGTAGGTATGAACATTCAAGGAATCGATAATTTTATCGACGTGTTGAAAAAAATAAGTATTATTAACAAAAAATATTACACCACCGCCGATCAATTATTATTACTGGCTTTACCTCGTCAAATTTCATGTTTATGTCATTTCCTACTACTATAAAGTGATCCAGTCGTTCAGGGAAATAACCGTCAAATTACCTGGAAATTTGAATTTCATGTTAACCTCGTGATACACACATTAAATTTTGTTCTAAGATCGTACTATTATGAGAGACTCTGTCAGTGTGTTATTATTTTTGCTGTTATTTTATTATTATGGGCGCCTGTATACTTTTTATTTGTGTTGTTATTTGATATTAGAGACTCTCTCAGTGTGTGGGTTCCTATGTTTCGTTTTATATCCTGATATATTATGAATTTAAGTTTGAATCTGTTGAGATTATGTTCTAATTTCTTAAAAGATGTATTTAATTTAACAAATTTCAATATATTGACAGAATTTGGCAGGTTATGGTTTTGTCACAATGTACAATAATTGTAATGCTTATCCTAAATTATTAAATAACAAATTCCCCCTTTAAATTTATACTACAACAGTGCATGAGTGTATTTCTACTGTCTGTAGTTCAATTGAAATTTTGATATGAAATTTATATAGCGCTTTGTTTATTAAATTTGCAAATTTGCTTATTACGTGTCGACACTTACAGTGAAATATTTCTTTTTGACTTTTCCATCAGCATGTAACTACGCTGTGTTGTGAAATCTGCTGCATGTAGTCGCGCTGTTCCAGTGTTACCTCGTTGGTTTGACGTCTAGTAGCGGAAACTGCCGAAGTATCCTTTGTGATGCCACAGAAACTTTTCCAAGTGAAAACAACACCACACTATATTTTTAAAGTTACACTTGTCACCTTTTTGTTTTTAATTTTTACAAATTCACCTCGTATCAATTTGTTGTCGTTTTATTAATTGCTTGTAGAGACTGCTGAACGTATTTTCGGGCTAATGTCACTTCCAGTATTGTAACCTTCGGACTTTTTACTGACAAATTTTTTATGATTTGTTGATAATAATCGATAGCACTTGTTTTTTAGGAGCAAAACTTACGATGTTGCTGCTACAGGTAAACATGGGAGACTGGCTACCTCGAGCCCGGATATTAGTTTTATAAAAAGTGCAAAACAATTGAAAATTACTATGGCAACATAACAAACATATTTTTGGAATTTTATTTTTGCAAAAACTGACTTTTTAATGGACTTGTGATGCATAAACTTTTCATTTTCAGATTATTTGCATTTTTCTGCGTCTTTCGACACTAATTACACCTTTCTAGGTTAAGTTGAACGTTATGTCAAAATGTTACATATTTTTACAAAATTCACTTTAATTTTGTTACATGGACTAATTCTTAGCATGTCTGTCCTTTATATGCCTTTAGTACTGTCTATTAAACACCTTTTACACAGTCTATATTCGTTTTTTCAGATAGAAACGAAAGAAAGTTTTTTAGCATTCCGCTCCGACAATCATTTTACAGCCTACACAACAAATTGACCTTTGGTTGGAGTTTAAACACATTATATGGAATGATGAGGGTCTCTTACAAACTGCACATATGATTTTGCAGTCTAGATGCACTTTTATACTAACAAATTTACATGATTTTAACGGAAAAATAACTGTCAAGATTTATATGCTACATAAAATGTTTTCACCGAAGTGTAGGTTTAATTTCACACATACAGGGTCGGAAAGTCCCCATGGTTCATCGGCCGTTACGTGAGAGCGATAAAGAAAGTCATAAAAATCCGCGCGAAAGAGAAATATGGCTATAATGAAAGCGTCTAATAGTCACCGCCCATTTCGCCCTTCCACAAATAAGATCCACTTCTTATTAATAATACTAAGAAGAAAAATGTTAATTTAGAAGTTTCGGACTTCTTTTAGAAATTTCGAAACTTAAATAAATGTTAAGTATACAAACATTTTTCTGTAAACAACAAGAATAATAATTATAAAATCAATTTATATCATCTTATTCCGTTGCCAGGGTTAGATGACGAATCTAATGGAGTAAGAAAACTTAAGTGCAGATATATTGGAATCGACCACCTGATACAGATCCCATATTCAGGTACCTAATATGAGAACTGTATAAAGTTTTCTCTTGGATGGTCTTTATAAACATTCCCACAGGCTCTACAAAATATTCGGTCTCCTTATTTCCAGTTTTTTAGTTTTTATTCTTTTTGCTTTGTTCCAATTGTACTACAACTTGTTGTTTTCAATTTGTATTTTTTACTTTTTCCTTTCTATCTTCTTTTTCTAAATCGTCAACTTGCCGCAAGGAATACATAATATAGTTTTTCGTTTTGAATGAAATCGAAGCAAATATGTGCACATTTTATAAGTATTAGTGGATGGATGTAATGTTTTACCATTACTCTGTGTGAAAATTATTTTCGTTCGTCTTACTCCATTCACCATCTATTGTACATGGTGTTAGAAGTTTGACTGCCTTAATTTTAACAGATTATAGAATACATTAAAATAAACAAAAAAAAAACCTTTTATGATTTGGGTCCTAAACTTAACAATTTCCGAGAAAAAAATTATCAAAATCTTCAACTCGATGTACCAGTTATATTAATTAAGAAATATTCACATAACTGCGTGCATAGAATACCATAAAATACAATGTTTATCACTTTTTTGAACTTTGAGAGAGTCGCACGAAACTAAATTTGTACAGGACATAGCTAATACAATGCGAAACATCGCCTTAATATTAAAAATGTTGTCACCGCCGTTATTGGTTGTGATGCAATTTTTCAGTCAAAATTTCAGGGCATGACCCAATTCAGATGTCCTAATAATGGATTATTATTTTTCCTGTACAATGCATATTTGTCATACTAATAAAAAATTAACATGTATTAATGATTTTAAAAACGACCTATTGTCTGATTACCAACCCTTATCGAAAAGAATTAAACGTACTAATACGATGCTCTTCATATTCAACATAATTACATAAATTTTGAAAGAGCCTTTAATGAAAAGAGAAGGTTTTTAGACTATATTTCTTTATGTAGACGTTTTTCATACTAATAATTGCCATTTGTATCACATAAACCCCATCTCCTTTAGAACTACAAAAAAAATTCTCCCCGACTTCATAAGTTAATTATCCGATTAAATATTAGCCAAAGAGCATAATTGAACTACAAAAAACAACTAGGGTTCAATAACACCTCTATACCTTATATAAAGAAAACGATAATTAAACAGCAAATAATTTCATCGATTTTTTAAATCTCTCATGCCTTTGTACTCACACGTCAATATATTTCCAGAAACAAGTACCAGTCGTTTCTGAAGCGCTTACAAAAAACACCTGACAATAAGAACTGATGAATTATATTCTAGTTATTGTATAGATAATTAATACGTTCATTAAGTGCGAGGATTGATTTCACAAAAACAATTGCTTCATTTTTTGCACCACTCCATAGCTTTATTTTAATTATCCTCAAATAGTTAGTGAATTCCTAGAATTAGTATTGCTCTATTGTTGATCGAAAACACGGAACATATTTTTAGATACATTGTGACTTTAGTACTACGAACACATATAGTTAATAGTATAGTAATAATTTAAGTCGCGAAAAGGAAGCATAGAACTTAATATCTTAATGTAAAGGAATGTTAACAATTAAAAAAAGAAATTAAACAGCTTTTAATTAATTCTTAAAATATTTCTAAATTCTGAAGTAGAGAATGCTCATATATGATTTTCATACCTAATTATCTAAAATAACAAAATATTTTCATGAAAAACGCATACCTAAAATATATGAACACTTTTAAGTCATACTGTTTGTAGTATGACTTAAAAGAACGATTGATGATTTGTCGTCAAAGAAATTATGTACTATCATTGTTTCTAATAGCTCTGGACAAAGACCGAATTAATTAATACATGTTCGTAGTTTAAATAATATTTTTGAAATGGCTGACAATTATTAATATTGCGTGTCAAAATTATTTCAGAAACGTAAAATATTAATATTTTTAAAAATATTTATGATTATATTAAACCGAAATGCAATAAAATTTGCTCATAGATTCTTCAGACAAATTTAGGAGACACGTATTTTTTATTTTTTCCAAGTGGGCCCCTCTTTCGGAGTTACAGCCCCCTGATATCTACCTCTAAGAAGTCTTCTTTATATCTCAGAACCCTGTTGTACGAGAATCACTAAATTTGGTACACAGTGGATTTATGATATGTGGAATCTGTTAGTGCTACGATTTTTGGAGGAGAGCCCCCATAAGACACTTTTTCGTGGGCCCCCTTGTCGTTGGAACCAAAAAAATTTGGTCGCATATTTGAATTTCTTTAAAATTATTAGTTCCATAGAAAGCCATTGAATTTAGAAACTCTTTTGTCTATTGATATTTTATTTGTAAAACGCAATGTTTTTGAGAAAAATGGGTTCTGAGATATAAAAAAAATACTATTCTTAGGGGCGGATTTTAGGGGGCTGTAATTCCGAAAGAGAAGGCCACTTGGCAAAAATAAAAAATACGGGTCCACTAAATTTGTCTTAAGAATCTGTGATACAAATTTTGTTGCATTAATTTCGGGACACCCTGTACTATAGTATTCAATTGGAATTTAGATAAACAAATTTCACTCTTATGACACTGTTTAGTTACACATTAAATCTAATGAATTAATAAAATATGACTAAAAAAAAAAATTTTTTTACATTTATTGTTAAGGTACCGCAACTTCTTTCTTTTTAAATGGTATTTACTAAATATCTGAGTACGCCAAAGAATCACGACCACAGAAAAACTGGTACTTAAATAATTACCTAAACAACTGAATAAATCTGATGTACAGGATATTGCATAATTCCACCAACAAAATTATGCAAGGTGTCTGATCAAAAACGAGAAAAAAGTTTATAAAATGAAAAAGTACTCAAATCAAAATATACAGTGTGTATTTAAATAACACCGAAAAAATGTAAGGGGCGATTCTCTGATAAAAATTAATAGGGGTATTTGGTATAAAAGTTTTTAAAAAAAATCTCTCCTGAAAAGTTATGACCCTCCAAAAATTATTATTTTTTTTCTTTTTTATCTTCCATGTATATCAAGCTAAAGAAACCAAACTTGGTGAACATTATATGTCAAAAAAGCTACCCCTATGACATTTTTTCTTATAATTTTTTTAGATAATTTTTTTTTCTTTAAAAAAATATGTCTAAAAAACCCAATTCATTTACTATATTTTTGATCACTTTAAGTTTTTCCGAAACGTTAAGGATTTATGAGAAAAAAATAAATGTATTGCAAAGCATTTTTAAAAAGATGAACCGTTGAACATTGATTATTTCAACCACTTACAAAAAAAAAATCGGGGTTAAAAAATTTCAAAAAGTGTAGTTTTTTTGACAGATAATATTCACCAAGTTTGTTTTCTCTAGGTTGATATACATGGAAGACAAAAAAGAAAAACATTTTGTTTTTAATTTTTGGAGCGGCGCGCGGCGTAACTTTTCGGGAGATAGAAATTTTATACCAAAGACCCTTATTCAATTTCATCAGAGAATTGCCCTTACATTTTTTTGGTGTTATTTAGAAACACCCTGTATATAAGTAGAATTTAAATTTGGTACTTGATGAACTTTCTAAAGCTAACTTTTATACAAGAGTACAACTTACCTCTTAATATTCAACTGTTAATTATGGAAGGTCAGTCAACGAAAGCGACGAGACAGATATCAACTATTTAATCACCATCGTACAACAGATGGCTCTTTTATATCTAACGATAGTTGTAATCAAGATACACCACGCACTTACTAAGAAGGTTTCAGTTATTTCAACGAAGCGCCGACTGGAAAGCTTTCAGTACGCATGCCCTTTTCAATGTTTGCATTCACAATTGCGTTTGAACCTTGCTGGTATCGTAAATTGATTTTAAGGAATACACGTTGGTATTCATGTAAGTGTGGCTACTGCTATCATTTTTTGTATTAGTGTTTATTTCCTTATTGCCTCGATGTCCTGTTAGCGATGTCCTGCTGGCCGACTGGAATGTTATTGTCGCAAGGTTTGTTGCAACTCTGGTGGCTATGGCGACCACGGTTTTAGCAGTATTTACATGCATTGGTCATGTATAATACAGACACTAGCTACATAATAAACGGGATTGGCCTGGATGTACTATTAAACTTAACTATTAAAAATTAATGATTTGTCAACGCCTTTTATAAAGGACATAATACAGGTCTCGAAACAGTTATCTGAACAATTCCTGTCAACTACAAACAATTACTGATATTGGAATGCAATGTTTCTTTGTATAAAAATATAAAAAACTACAAAATCTAATACTGTCCTTGGTTTAATTTCAATGATAAAAGACACAAAAGTAAAATTAGGTTTTTTTCAAGTATAAAATGCCAAAATTTTAACCACGCATTTAATTCATCAAAAGTAACAACCTTACCTAGTAATTGTTTTTTTAAATTGAATCGAATAACAGAAACACATTTGTAATTATTGAAATTGTTAGACAATATGTTACGGGTTTATTTTGTCACCCTTTAAAATACCGAATTTATTTTATTGCGGCAAGATCTAGACGATTCGGTTCCAAAAAATACCTACATAACTATTTCAATTATATAATAGTAATATAATAATTATTATTTATACTTAACATTACTTTATTGATAACAAGAAAGAAAAAGATCAATAAATATTATTATATCAATAATTTCGCTCCAGCTAGAAATGAACGTCTTTATAATTCTATCACCGCCGAGTATGGGCAAAAAGACGATATGTTTTTGCAGCTTGAAATAAAATTAAAGACGGACTTGGTATTTAGGCTTGAAAGAAAGCAGTCAAAACGCAAAATTGCGGATCTACCCCAGTTGATTAATTAAATAATCCGTTGCACTGCGACCACTGGTTATTGTAGGTGTAGCTAGAAAGCAGATTAGTGTCTGGATTTTTGGTGTGAAGTGCAACAGGACTTAATAAGAAAGGCCGCACAACATCTCAAGTAAAGCGAATTGTCACATTTTGGTTTTAATGAGAGCCGTTTATACAAATTTGAGGAGGTGAATCTATTCACCCTCACTGCCTTTATTGCCCGCAATAACTCCGTTCATTTCTAAGCCTTTTTCTTTGTGATTGTCTATGGTCGTCCATTCTGGGACCGACTTACATAATACATCGTGGAGCTAGCAGCCCCAATAATTTGATAACATCCAGTTAGAACATCGGAGATCGAGGAAACGAAACACCAGCCGCAACCCCAAAATTAGCACGTGGTCACTCCGTGGAGGACTACTTATCACCCAGGATCCTTATACTACCGGACGATAAGGTCATATTTATAATTTATATCATTTTACGTTACCCATTAGTCGTTCCAAGATCCACCCGGTGAAGCCACGCCCTTAAATGGTTTACCATTTTATTGAAAGAAGCCCTTAAAAATAATTTATTGCCATTTAATATTACATTATATTTAACGTTTATACGCCTGTAAACCTCATAGTATATACTACGGGGGGCCTTCTTATTCCTCATATTAATTGTACTATACCATGGGCATAGAAAATATAGTACTAACGTAGAATGAAATCTAACATATGAATAATGAAACTGTCATGGCGGCGTCACATGTTAGTTAGCTTCCAAAATAAAAGATGGCGCAGAGAATGCTAACCCTGTCATTTTGGGTTGGTTGATAATGCAGTTTGCACTTTGCACGTATTTTTGAGGTTTGGCTTTCGTTATCTTTGGTTTCCTAGGTTATTCTCTGAAAATTGTAAATTATAGTATTGCAAGAATTGTGTTTATAATTATTTAGTGCTCAAGAGTTTTCTATTTGTTATTATATTATACTGGGAATATGATGTGTAAGTTTTAAGCTATATAGTTTTATTAAAAACCAAATCCATATCTTTACCAACATTATGTGGAACACTCGTACTCATGTTACTTATATTAATCGGTTAGAAACAGTCCACATAAAATGCGTAATTACATATTATTTAAGTTAAATATAGATAAAAATAATTATGTGTATGTTGATAAACTCCAACTAATATTTTATGAAACCTTTGATACTTAGATGCTTACAAAATTTTTAATGGTGGTGAATTGCTTTCTTTATTCAGTTTGAGACATAGAAAATATAGTGTTAATATTAAGTTTTCTATGGTTTGAAAGTTCCAAACTATATGAACTATTCAATTTAACCCAAAATTGTACAAATATTCGGTTATACTCTCCGGAAAGTGAGATTATTATAACAGTTCATGCATAATTTTTATATTTTTACAGCTTACTTGCCAACTTATCAAGTTTATGAAGCAATTGAATTAAATTGTTGTCGTTTTTACTTACGAAATACATAACAAGAAATTGTTTTAATAGTACATGCATAACAACATTCTATATAAATCAATTAGGATTTATTGTAGATACAAAATAAACTTATAATTATTAAAAAATGTTTTATTTCCTTATCAAAACCATTTACTAAGTATATCTAAATGTCTAAATTTGAAAAATATTATAATATAATAAAATAAGAAGAAATTGTCTGTATTTATTTGTGGCATTATAAATGTTTGTTATAATTTGGATATTTTGCCATAGTTTGAAGAAAAAAAACTGGAAAAATAAACCCTTGTACCGATAGGGACAGTCAAGTGTCAATACTGAAAACTTTTGCCTAATAGTGAAATGCCAGAGACATACATCTACATGTATAAGTCTGGTTACGCACTGGAAAAACAAATACACATCACAATAATACTATGACGTTTCTGAAACCTCTTTCTAGTTTCGTTATCAAAGCAGAAGTGAATTAGAAAAGTACTGAATATTAGTTTTTCCCTACATTTTCTGTTTAACTAAATAATCTGTTCTCAAAAGTATTGACACTTAACTATTCCTATTTGTATAAGGGTTTACTTTTAAAATTTTTAAAATAATATATTAGAGGATATAAGTGAGAAGTCGTTTGCATACGATAGATGGCGCTGTAATCAGTTCACAAAGTATAAAGTGTTGCCTACCCATTAGGAGCTAAGTAGTAAGTTTCCAAAACGTTACGTGGCGCTGTTTCGCGGTTTATTGGCAATATTAGGGACATTTCATTCTACGTTAGTAACTATATTTTCTATGACCGTGGGTTTGTAACACGAACTGGGACGTACTGGTACGATTCTCTGTAACCGTTTTGAGTCTAGTGCCGCCCCCTATTGCCTATTCTTATTATGATCATAGCTTGACCAATCAAAGCAGTTATTAGTCATAGTTAATTGAATTTTTTTCTTTTCATTACAATAAATCTTAAAGTTATTATACTCTATCGTTATTTTATAATTTTCGTTTAGTTATCGTAGCCTTGATGCACCAGCAGAGATAGAGACTGCACCTCCACGCCCTATCTCACTGAGCTGCCGGACTCTCTGCTAATTTTGCAACCGATCAATCACAAATAAAAAGGCTATATATACCTAACTAGCAGTCTCGCCCCTTTTAGTTTTTTTTAGTATGCTGCCATGTCTATGAGTGGGCAAACGTAGCAAATACAATCACTAAAAAAATATCTTGTATTTTTGCTATCCTATTATCACCCTTAAGGTGGCCATATCCCTGGCCGAGAAATGGTGAAATTTCTGGCATTTTTAGGTACTGAAATCTTGAAAAGTAAAACATGTAGAACAAAAGTAAGCACAAAAATAAAATCCTTGATGTTTTGTTTATTCATTGTTATCATTTAAATTTACCCAAATAAAATAATAACTAAAAAAAGCGTTTGTAAAACATGCGTTTTCTGTTATCCTAACCCCACATTTTAAGAATTATTTTTACGTAGGTACTTATAAATAAAAGTAAACAATTTTATATGTAGGACTAAGCAAGTAAATGTTATAAGAATATTGACATGTGGAGTTATATATAAAAAAGTTAGTATTTTCGTAGATTTCAGTACCTAAAACCTTGATGGTTTGATCGTTTTTTGCACCTGTTTATTCGTTTTACTGCGGCGTCTTTGAAAATACTCAGGTGGCATGACATAACATTCCTATTATTTGATAAGCTTTAGATTATTCAGTTATTAAATGTTTGAAATTATTTGTCTTTGCGGAAAACACTATTTAAAGAATATGGGGCCCTTAACAAAAACAAATCACTTAAAATACAACTACTACAAAGAAAACTTTTTTTGTTTCCACATTTTACGTCATACAACATACATACAATTATAAATATTAATATTAAGGTGAAGCTAATTCAAACAAACTAAAATAAATTAAATCTTATCGAACAAGTAAAATGTGGAAACAAAAAGATCTCTTTGTAGTAGCTATTTTTAAGCAATTAATCTTTGTCAAGTGTAGCAGAAATACAGGATATTTCGTTGAATAATTACATTATTTAACAATTTCAATGTATCAGGTATGCGTTTTTATATTAATTATTATATTTAGACGTATCATTTTTAGTTTAAATTCAATACTAGTTAGGCATATAGTTCAAACAGTAGTTGTTTCCCGCAGTATCAGCAGTTAGGAGCTTTGTTTGTGGGATTGGATATATTTTGCATACGTTTCATTGCTTAACTTTTTTACTTCTTTAACATGATGGCTTTAAAATAGAGTAAAATAAAGTGAATCATTTCATGGAACATTCGCATATGTTGCTTTGGTACTTCTATTCCAGTCGAATTAGACTTTGATCGTGAAAAAATCATTAGTAGACATTTTATTGCACTTTATGACGGAAAGTGTATGTAAAATGATAAT